ACTAATTTCGCTCACCTGTGTGTAATCACTGATTACCACCAGTTATAAGAATATTATTATTAATTATAGTAAATTACTAATTACAAAAGCAATCACTAATTATAGTAATGATTACCTGTGAGGTTTCCGTAGTATTTTGACTTTGTTTTTAGTTCGTGATTTCTTTGGTCTGAATTTTTCGCTTTGACTGAGAGTATCAGTTGTCGAACTTTTTTTTGCCACTTTTTACTTTTCCTATAGGCTAAAATTTCTTTTTGTGAATTAAAACAGGTATAGATTTCACGAAGAATGAGAAGGTAATTAATTAATTGAAGTAATTGATTAGTTAAAAAAAATTATAAAAATACAAGAAGGATAGGTGTAAAGATTACAATAGTTATTAATCTTAAAGAAAGGAAGAAAAAAAAAGTGAATTAACTTTAAAGAGAGGAATAGAAAAGAAATTAAGTTAAGATAAAAAGCGGTACTTTCCGTTGTGGTCGAGGACCATCACAATTAATTAACGAAACGGTGAATAATAGCAATGGAAGAATGATAAAACAGATTAATCCTTGTAGGATAATTATCAACATTGCTGTATTCGCCGAATTCTTTCAAACAGAAAATTTAGAAAAATAGAAGTTTAAATTGATAGAAGTGATTATCTTCACTGTAATTCTTACATTTTATAGTATGCTTGAAAATTTTGCATAAATTATTCTATGGTAAGTTATAATTTTGAATAAATTTGTATATTTTGAAAAACTGTAAAATTTTGAATTTTTAAAACATTGAGTTAAGGAGAAAGTGTCATTTTTTAATTCATATTTGTAACTGAAATTTAAATTTTGCAATTTCCTTTTTATTTAGTACTATTAAAAAGATTTGCATATTATACAAATTTATTAGTAACTATAAAGTGACATCAACAATTAGGATGTTACACTTTCTAGTTTTCCTTGATTGAGTGCTTGTACTTACAAAATTGTTGTTTGATTCCGGATGGATAGCGAAGAAGAGGAGGATTTCGGTCTTAAACCGGTTAAAATATTGATTGCTTGGATTTCTAATATTTTGTTCTAGTAACTTTTGTTGGCCAAAATCTCTGAGTTTTTTTCTGGTAAACTAGTTTTTGCATTCAGGGCTCAGTAATTGAATCATCTCATGCAAAGTATACAATTGATAAATTGCTTGGTGAAGGTGGTTTTGGAGCTGTATATCGTGTCCATGATTCCAACAATCCAAGTCTAGAATACGCTTTAAAAGTGGAACGGAAACTTGAAACACGTAAAGATTCCAAACTCAAGATGGAGGTACGAAATCTCGCTGATATTATCAACCAAGCTGATAATATTTAACTTTTTGATGTTTTCAAATGACTAACTACTAGCGTTACTTTTGCTACGATACTTTTGATATGATTCCGGAATCCGACATCCGTATGATTGTAATATACACTTCCAGTTAATTCGATATCACATACTTATAACTGTTGATAATTTTCAATAATTTGAAAAACTCATTTTTACAGATTGCCATTTTGAAATTAGTCTCAATGGAACGAGCGGAAAAGTCACATTTTACAAAAATTATCGATCGAGGCAAAAAAGAAAAATTTTTTTTCTTGTTATGCAACTCGTTGGGAAATCACTTGCCGATCTTAAAGCTTTACGACCGCATAAGGTATTATTGCCATTAGCAGTTCAAAATAACAAAAATAGTATATAATCCATGTAATTGAGTAATTAAGTATTAAGCATAAATGTTATCATATCTATCACTGATCAGATAATAACCATATGGACACAATCGAAATAATTGATATTCACTGAATATCATATCATGATGTAATCTGATAATAGTAAGTATAAATAACAAATAAGTAAGAGAAATTTTTGCTAATCAATTTAAATTTAATTTAATCTTCAAAAATAATTTATTTGAAGTTTAAAATAGAAGATAAATAAGACAAAAAAAAAAAGTACAAGCTATGATTTTTGAAGATATCAAAATTTTGTTGATATAGTAGCAATGATGTGACATTGACTGATATAATAGTGTTAGTGACATTATGCTAAACAATAATCATTTGTACATTTGCAAATGAGTGTATTATGTAAATTTATGGAAGTCGAAATTTGAAATGAGGCGGAATTGTCATATAGGTATTCTCAATGCACACTGGTTTGGGCGCATCGATACAATGTCTGGAAGCAGTGGAGGATCTACACAAGCATGGTTTTATTCATCGAGATTTAAAACCAGCCAATTATGCAACCGGTCTTGGAGCTCAAATACGATGCGTTAGTTGTCGTAAAATTTCAACTTATTACCAAACAATTAACATAATTGAAATATTCTAATTTGAGCCCTATATTGATATTAAATTTCAGATCTATATTCTTGATTTCGGAATAGCACGACGAATTCTTAATGACAAAGGTGAAATCAAGACACCTCGTGTAACAGTTGGTTTCAAGGGTACTGTAAAATTTGCTCCTATAGCATGCCATAAACGAAAAGAACTAGGTCCAAAAGATGATTGTGAATCATGGTTCTATCTTCTTCTCGATCTTCTTGTCGTAACAGGTATGTGTCAATTATTTTTATAAAATTTACTAATATTTGCCATTTCTCTCTATTACCTGTCTATGTCTGCTCCCACAACTTTTCATGTTGAAAATTTTTTTGATAATAATTTAAGGCTTACCATGGAGGAAAATATCGGATAAGAATGAAGTATTGAGGGTAAAGGAAGAAAGTCGCATAAATCGAGATAAACTGTTGTACGGAATGAAATGCAAGGAAGAATTTGGCAAAATTTTAGAGTACATTGATTCGTTACATTATGAAGATCGTGTCGATTATTCGTACATCTATGAACTATTAAAAACAGTATCTTTTTATTGAACTATTCTATATTATTTTTATTTTTCATTAAGTCAAGTTTTATTCAATGCTACTTTTCATGATTAAGTAATTAGTAAGTTAATACGAAATTATATACGGCTTGATACTTATGTTATTAAGACAATATTACTTCACCATATTAATGATCAGCGATTATAATAGATCAATTCTTTGTTTAATGCTTAATTTAATTCTGGTAATTGATTGTGACGAAATTTTCAGTCATCAGTGATCTGTGATTGCAAATTGACCGATCCATATGACTGGGAGGATACAGCACGAAAGAAATGATTCCTATCTGGAAGTGATAAAATAAGTTAACTGCTTGGCAGTACGCTGAAGTGCTCTTTTTTCTTTATAATGTTACAAAATTATCTTTGATAGCTTACCAAAATCGTCAATTGAATTGCAAATTTAAAAACTAGAAATCTTCAATTGCCTATTAAAAATTGATATGCTTACAGTGATTGTTTAGCAATAAAATTGCATGAAGGAAAGAAATTTGAAGATCTTTTCTTATACGATTTTTGTTAACAACAAAAAATATGACAATTCCAAAACCGAAATTTCAAGTTCAGAATTCCGTAATCAGTCATCTATAACAGCAATTTAAACTTAAGAGTTCCATTCCACAACTGCACCATTACTTTGATATAAGCCAAAGAAGACATAGTTATTATTTTAACTACTCAGGAAGGAAAGTTAGGAAGGAAGTCATCATGGATATCTTTATCAAAACCTATCAAGCTATCAATTTTCGAGCCATTTAGTCTTTTACACCTGGAACAAAATACTATAATGAGTGGAATACATCCCGCTAACCGTTACCCAGCCGGAACAAAGTACTTGATAATTTTCCCAAGGTAATCTGCCTCCAATTTTCATGTTGGATATAAATTATAATATCGCCTCGAAGTATTTTATTATTTGCACCACTTAACTTGCAAATATATGTTTACCGCACTTTTGTCAATAACATTTAGCGTAGTGCTCAATGATGAATGTTAGAGGTATCTTTTCAAATGTTTCCTGAACTTTTCAAGTGTATACTGGGTATTCTCAACGATCATCACATTTTTTCTTAGAAAATTTGTACGAACCAGTAATGCATTTCTGAAAATTATAATAACTCCTCACAAAAAATTGCTCTCTTCATTTAGTGTTGTCCGCTTTTCGTCAATCCCTCCACATCTATCCATTTACTGCTTTCGGCAACAAACGCTACCGTGATATTTCTATGGTAGTTCTTTCCGTTGTTCATTTTCTTCTAATAGCTTTTATTGTTTCTGATTCTTCTGTGCCTTCCACATTCTCTGCAATCTCTCGTAACTCCTGTTTTTTTCAATAAAGATCAACAATCAAGAGAAAAACTAAGAAAAGGATTTCCAAAAATATCCATCTCTATAGCCGCATATCTACACATGATTATTTCAAACTGCTGGAATAGAAGTATGATTAAACTACAAGACTAAACAAACATATTAAACCCTACAACAAATATATTGAATGAAGTTGATGAGGTGAAAGGTCGTTTTTATTATAACGGACAGCACTTGGTGTCATAAAGTTCAATGCACTCAATAAAAAGTTTTACAGTTGCAATACTTATGCAGTGCTACAAATGCAATATAGCAAAATTTCTCCAATGATGAACATATCCATTAAGGCTGACGTTCAAAAAAATTTCCCGTTTTAAATAAGTTGCAACGATTATTCCAAAGGAAGTTAGGTATGCCTTTGTTCAATTTTGGAAGAAACAAAGACAATTTAGCGTTTTTTCTTCTTTTTGTCTTCAGGATGATCTTTAAATGATAGCAAATTTTTGATATCATTTAAAGACCGTCCTAAAGCCTGATGACATCACAGTCATGTATGTCTCAGGAGAAAACCAAGTTCTATGTTCATATAAGGATATCCCCGAACTCACGCTTTGTAAGACTTCACAGCAAACTACTCTACTACTCCACTAGAAAATTCCAGATATCCTAAGAAAAGCAAGTTAGAAACTCAAGAAAAGAGAAAAAAGTAGCATTAATAACAGTATAATCAACATATTGCCAACTTATGCGTAACTGCTAAACGTCTCTTTCACACATGAAAATACTAAACCGGTAATACAAAATAAAAATTTAGCATATAAAAAGCGTGCTAAGTGTATTTCTCAAATATCTTTTTAAATACAGATATATACATTTCGTTTTGAGTGTAAACAAATGAATCAATACCGCGACTTGTCGACATTGAGATCACAGTGCCATTTCTCTGATAACAAAGTAAATTTCTCTTTATCCACTGGTGCGCCCAATGCAGTTCGAAAGTATCACTTCACAAGATTTTTCTCGATCAAATCAACCGCTTCTACAAAACTCTCCACACAGTTCCTCGAAGCTTCAGGTATTTCCAATTCATCATCTGCAAAATTAGTTTTTAAATTACTAAAATTGGGAATAACATATGGTTAAATGTAATTTCATGCCCTTATTCAAATTTAATTTGCAAATTTTATTTGTAATAAAGACCGGCATCAATGAAGGATAAGAAGCAGATCAAATTCTTTTTTTTACTTGTAAACAACGACAAATACTGCCTAATTCATTAACCCTAATTTTAACGTCAAACTGCTACTGAAGCTTTTTGATACCATCATCCCTATGCAAACTACAACCAAATTATAGAAACTTATATAAAATCATAATTATATGAAATGAAATTGAGATGCAAGAGAAAAAGGAAGAAACCTTTACAATATTTGCCCGTTTTCACAAGAATCGCACGCATCCCAGCATTAATAGCTCCAAGAATATCATCTCGAACATCGTCACCAATCATTACAGCTTGTTGTGGTGCCAAAGATTCGTCGATACTAGCTAAAGCAGTTAAAAAGAACGCACGTTCTGGTTTACCGACCACCTGTGACTGAAGAAAAAAAAACTGTATTTGCAATGCATATATCGTGATTTTTTTTCTACTTTATGAAGAAAATGATAATAAATCGATCTAGAAAATAGCAAGACAATATATAAATTAAGCGAAACATACTGCAACACACAGCGCTAATAAAAAAGAGTTACCTTAACATCAGAAGCATATTCAAGTGCTTCTACGAAAGGACCTGGTCCCAGTGATAAACCATCTTTTTGTTTATAATATCGTCCTTTATGAATGGCAATCAGTTTCGCACCCTCTAGCAGTAACCGAAATGCTTCATTTAAAGACGAGAAAGTAAATTTTGAGGGAGCAAGTCCAACAACTACTGCATTCGGTTTCGTAATGTCGACATCTAGATCGTATTACCAACAGTTATCATTTAGATGTACCATAATAATTAACAGTTACTAATAATGAGGCAAAGGATGTAGACTTATTGAATATCTTACACAATGAAGAAGTAAATGGAAATACGATGGCAAATTAACTTACTTTTTAATAATACTGAATTAAATGAGGCATTTGATAATGTCTACCTGTGAAATCTTCAAGTGCAGCATTTTCTAGAAGTAACATTGGCCGTAGATTGTCTTTTTTGATGAGGTGTTTAGCGGCCAAAAGTGAAGTAAATATTTCCGATCGTTTAATTTCCAGTCCAAGCTTTGTAAGGCGTTCGTAAAGTCGATCCGCTGATTCCTGACCAAAAGTAAAATTAAACTCAAAAGGCATCTATGAATTTATCAATATTTTCACTTGAATTTGACCATTTTTCCATGACTGACGAATAGGGTCTAATGTCTAACAACAGCTATCATGCGGAAAGCAATAGGATAATTTTGAACAGTTCATTAATAAATCAAAGAAGCTGAAATAATAAGTGTTTAAGTATAAAATAATTTAGATTACAAATTTGCCTTGGCTCCTAGTAGAAATGATAGAATAAGAAGCATCATGGGCCTCACAAAATAATGATAAACTAATACCCATAAATAAACAAGATGATAAAAATATAATAAAAAAAGTTATAGGAGTGAAACTGAAAAAAGTTACGCAGCTAGGAAAATGTTCTATGATGGATTTTTCGAAATTCCGAAATCCTTAGAGGAAATTTCGTGCAATTTAGTATAGCAAATGCAAATTTACCAAACAAATTTATTGAAAATAAGCAGAAAATAAGTTAGAAGAGGCGCAATGTTTCATGAAATGTTATCAAAAAATGGAGTACCTTTGTTGTGTTAGTGACGAATTTGATAGCATAACGAGGATTGCGCCTTAATAGTTGTAAAGAAGTTAGAACTCCAGTGATACAAATATCCTCAACATGTAGTGTTCCAGACAAATCAATTAGTACAGCAATGCGTCCAAATGATACCATTTCGGCACGATCAAATCACCTAAACTTGCAAGTATGTTGGATAATCCTTTAAAAATTTGCTGTAAAATCACGTCATGTGTGGTTCAAGTTAGAATCGCTATGTGTGATTAAGAAGCAATTATTCGTTCTAACGTTTAACACAATGCAAAATGACAAGATTAACTGACAAGAAGTGAAATTAAAATAAATTTGAATGATCCTTTTGAATTAAACATTGAAAGGATAATTTTGTCGATACTTGTATAGCCTGAATAACTATCCAGTGGTAGTACGAGGAAAATGTATCGGAAAAGCGAGACGATATCGATTAGTACCAATAATATGAAATGAATACCAACATTCGAGAATTCAGAGCATAGGATATTAACGCTTTCCATGCGCCAAGAAGCTTTTCATAAATTTTCAATGGCTTGCTTGTCAAAGCAGTGTGTTAATGGATGAGAGCGCCGAGAAGTGGGTCAGTAGCGAAGAGTCGAAGCTTAACTGTGCCCTTGGTAGATGTGGTGATTGGGGTTGTAGGTTCGTGGCCTGAGACGGGATTTGGTACTACTTGTATTTTGGTCATAGACTCGTGGCCTGGAACGGCGTTCCGTACTACTTGTATTTTGATGCATTTAGGCCGTATAGAAGTGAAGTCTTTTCAAGTAACTGTGTTGTTGCCGTGAAGTGAGTAGAATTATTGGCGCAGTTGTGGTTAGGACTCTTAATATTGTGAACTAATTTACGAACTTGCTGATTGTAGTTTTCAATGTGATGATAATTACGCTCGTGACTGACGACCGGTCGTGCCGTATGTGAAATGTTTTAGTCTGAAATTATTCATTAAAGAAGTGGTAACATTAAATGCTTCCTCCATTGCAGATTCATTTAATTTAGAAGAGTTGGATACAAGCGTGGAAGTGAAAAAGTTAGGAATATGCAAAGATATGGGGGAAACGTCAAATGGCTTTTAATCACTGGAACAATACTTGTGACTAAATAAAGAAACTTCCTTCATTTTCTTTCTTTTCGATCAAAACTTTGACAAAGGCTATTTCAAACAAGCAGGACATTATTAGGAATGAAAAGAATTAAAAAAGTTCCTTTTTATTTCATTTCTTTCTTTGAAGGGACAGAACCAGTCCTCTGTAGAAGAATCAAGTTAAAATGTAATTCTTGCATTGTTGTTTCTTTCTTTTCTGATCATCTATTTTTCTTGGTCCAAATCATTTCTGTACTGCGATGCATTTAAGATATATTAAGATGAGTTGTTAAGACTCCAAACATATGAATTACATTCGACCTAAAGTTCAACTATTTTGAAGAATCTACTACACTTTGTCTCTTTAATTTCGAAAGTAATCGAAGGTTCTCATGTGCAGCACATGATTTCAAAATTTATTAATTGATAAGATAAGCAACCTTCCTGTCGTGCTTCTGCTGTTCTAATTACAGAGAATTTCCACTTATCTATTAATATGAGTATGCGTGTATATCCGCATGGTGAGATCTTTTCCATTGGTGTAATTACTTTTTGAAAGTGAAAAACATTGAATCATCGGTCGAAATGTAATAAACTGAAAAATACGAAGTTTTCTACCAGAGAATATGGTTCAAACTAACCGGTCGACACATTACACTATGCTAAAATATGCCGATGATATGTAGAGCTTTAGCAACAGGTAGCTGGTACTTTAGCTATTATTATTATAGTTGTAGTTAGAACATCATTTGAAGTTGCAACATCCAGCTGAACTGTCATTTTAGGAATTGGAAGGTGGCAGGTCACAGCGCAATATAATTCACATTTTGTTATATATATTTATACAGTTGCAATAAATAGCTTTATAAAAATGAATTTCAGTTTTAAAGAGAAAAAAACGAGAATCCCATTTTTGGGAATTCTTCGAAAATTATGCACAGAATCTTGAGAATCTATTTATAAAATTATGGTCCATATTTTATGGCTAGTACTTCAACTCTTTGTAGTGGGACGGTCAATAACATGACATGACTACAACATAACAATGCATACAATGAGAAGCTAAGCGGAAGTACAAGAAAGATTCTTCCTTTAATCATTGTCAATATACACACAAATTCGAACCATAAGATTTAATCAGAAATCGTGTTCACTCAGAATTACGCATACCTTTTAAATTGTATCTCAAATATGTAATTATTGTTTTAAGTCAAAAGTGAATCAGAAATGGAGTAATCGAAGTAGTACCTCGTCCTATAACAATTTACAAACCGCTTGCAAATGCAGACACGTAGGCAGTGACAGTGATTCCAGGTTAAAATCCGAATAAACAAACGGTTCGGAATTGAAAGGTGTCAAATAAGTGCCCATCATAATCAGCGTATTCTGAAACATTGTGCATCGATAAGTGTCTAAGAAATTTAAATCGAAGAAGCGGTAACTGGAAATTTTTGAATTTGAGATCATCT